ACTTCATAAATAGTAAAGAAAAGAACATTATAAAAAACTTAAAATAAAATATTACAAAAAGAAAAAGACAAGTACATAAGAAATTTGTATCAGTTGTAGCTTAAATTCAAATGCATCATAATGTTTAAATTAGAAAGGATAAAATAAGTATACTAGTACATGTGATGGTGCACTAACAAAATTCTTATTTAACTATAAGCACAACTAGCCCTTAGGCTTCATAATTTATTTTAAAATTCAGAAGTTAATTTTATATTTATAAGCATAGTGAACATATTCAAAATAAGCAATAGCAAGGATGACTAATTGTAGGGGTGTCAAAACGGGTCAACAGGACGGGCTTAGATCCAACCGAAATTGATTGATCATAACCTGACCCAATTTATTAAATATATTAGGAATTTCAACCCAGACCTGACCCATTCTGCCAACCCGAATGTCCTTCTTCCCAACGCCAACAGGAGTAGTTCGGTTGTGACTCACGCGAGTGGTGCAGGCGAAGGGGCCTTCAGGCATGTGCGGGCAAACCTTCGGGGCAAGCGCGGAATGTGAGTGAGATAGGTTCAGGTATGTGTGTTGGAGTCATAGAGTGATATCCGTGCAACGAGCATTAGCCATTAGGGCATGGGCATGCCTACCCGGTGTCGTACTACAATATAGGTGTGAATGCTCAGGCATGAGAACAACGTAGTGAGGTCTGCACGAATGCAAGCGCGCAAGAGTGGAGCGCGTACGAGTTCAGGTTTGAGTGTTTGGGTGCATTATGCCTATGTTGTAAGCACGACACGTGAAATTGGGATGTAAAATCAGGTATATGGGTCCAATTTTAGGTTGATTTTGGATTTTTGGGTCAACTTGAGCCCAACCCGATTTTATAAACCTGTCAAAATCTTGAACCCGAACTCGACCCGTATGTCAAACGATTGACCTGAACCAAAAATTTGTTGGCTCATGTTTGGGTTGGATTTTGGGTCAGGTCAAATATTGACACCACTAGCTGATTGGGATAAATGTTATGACTTATTTAAATTAGAATTATAATTTTGTTCATTCCAAATTACTTCTAGATTGTGTTGTATTATTCTATATTTTATTAAATTTTACTTTGGCTATTAAGTGATAAATGGGTAAAAGTTATTATTGCTTGAGGACTATAAAGAGTTAAAAATAGGGAAAATTTGTTAAGTGTAAATTATAAACTATTTATTGTTTTTTAATGTTAGTGAAAATATATTAATTATTTTAGTGTATTTGTACATGAAATATTCATAATAAATGGTAGAAAATTATAAGTGATAAGTAGCTCCGCATGCCATAGTGTTGAGATTCATCAGGCTGAGGTGCTCATTTCTGATGTTGTAGCAATAATCTTCTTTGTTAGCAAGCGCTGCTGCAGTACCATAGTCAAAACTGCGAAGTTACACATCACTACTGCACTAAAATTTAGCACTGTTGATATAAATTATCAAGAGGTCACCCATCCCAAGATTTTTCTGGGATGTGTATATATGCTTAACTTCAAAGTTTCTTAATAAAATTCCAACTATTACACCAAAAGGTGCCTCGATGTTTATGAGTTTAATTTCTTTTTATTTAAGAGGTTTCATAATCTCTCGCACTTAAGTAACTAACGTCCATGTTAGTTTCTTTATTCCATAATCATCCACCAGATAGATACGATTCTAGAGGTGGCATCTACAATTTCAAGTGGTGACTTTTGCCATGTAGCACTTTGTCCCATACAAGGTTCAAGAGATGGCTCCAATGGTGTAGCACTTTATCTTGTATGATACTTAGTTCCCATCTTTTGGCCGGTGTATTGCTCTGGTAAGTTACACTAACAGGACAAAACCATGAGGCGCTTAGGCTAAAATGGAGAATATCTTGATAATTAAGAGTTAAACTTCTTTTTTACTTAAGAAGTTTCACAACAACACTAGGCGATGCTACACAAACTAAGCATTGTGCGTCCATATGATCATAAACCAAATAATTCTAACATGTTTACTTGAAAATATAATAAGGTATGCTAAAGACTTGATTATGCAACTAAACTTATGTAAGGCTTGGGATCTAGGTGAGCTAACTCATGGAGTGAATCCAAGTCAACAACATGAGAAATTCAAGGTGAGTGTTAGTGCTCCTAATGCTCTTAAGCAATGTAGTAAATTAGTTAATGAATAATGATAAGATTGATTCATTGGAGTGCTGACTAATCTCAGGGGAAAGCGATTAATAATCCCTAAGGGGACTACTAAATTAAAAGGACATTATATTTTAAAGTCCATTAAGATCTTTAATCCTAGCATTAGGTCATTATTAGATTCTAAATGATTGAATGCATGCTCCATAAATGTCTAATGTCCTTACCATGTACAAAAAAAAGTTTGCATGATTGGATGAAGCATAAGATAAATATGAACATAGTAAAAATATACATTAATAATACATGAAATTTATTTGTAAAGAAAAAAAAAAACCTTTCCTGTCATGAAGAATGCAACCCATAAAATTCACAAGGATAGCGAGGTGATGTATATTTTTACAAATAGAAAATTTCATTTAAAGGACAAAATAATGATCTTAAAAACAACTTGGGGCTTTTAAAAATTCATGATAATCTCTAAATGGCTTGCAACCTTATTGAGAAATAACTTTCCATGGCATGCATATGCTCTAACTTTCTCCTAATTATTTAAATTAATTTAATATATATATATATATATGTGTGTGTGTGTGTGTGTGTGTGTGTGTGTGTGTGTGTGTGTGTGTGTGTGTAAAAATAAAGAAAAGTAATGAATAGTGAGAACATATTTTTGGTTGTTTAAAATATAGAAAATTATTTTAAAAAAAATTTATGTTTTTGTTTCATTCAATTTCGAGTTAGACTAAAGTTCTTTGATTTTTTACAAGCTCATTCGATTTTCTTAATATTTTAATTTCCTAATTATCCAATCAACAACTTGAGTGTACTAGATCCCTACACATGGAGCCACAGGATTGGGCAACCTGCATAGGCATCATGCACATTGCATTAGACTCTTATGCACTTAATAGTGGATAATACGTGAATCAATTCAACTATACCACTATCTCAAGATTAAGATCCAATGATTTTGGTTCACTTGTATCCCTCGAATTACTACATCTCTCATACCAAGATGATGGCATTAGGGGTGATGTTTATACTTGTATTGCAGCCAGAGTAGATATGGTCCAAAAGGATAGGCTCCTGGAAGCTGGAGATGGAGATGTCAGTCCTAGAGGTGGCATCAACTATGTCACTGATAGCTCAAAGTTTTATATTGGAAGCTTGCATAGTGGAGCTATGTTTTATGATGGTTTCAATGCCTGATCTTACCTTAAGGCTCATCTAAGATCATATAAAACATAATAGCATTGTAAACAACCTCAAGGATCTAATGGAGTAGAAAAAGGGGACAAAGATGTTGTGGCTATACTAGTGGGAAATTAAGGGCATTTTTATCAAAAGCTGGTCTTCTTGTTTTTAGAGTCGGAGAGGTGCAGTAGTAGGAGGAAGTTCTTCTATTATGAAAGTCCATTGAGATTTTTCCTACCCTCTTCTATCAGTTTATGCCTTAAAGAAATTTAATACTTTTGAGGCACCACAATTGGCTATTGGTTGGCTAGGGAGGTGGTTAGCACATAACAATAACTAGATCAATAATTCCCAAGGGAGTGAAAGGAAAAATGAGGGGAATTTCCTTCTTGAAATGCTATGGAGAGCTCAATCAAAATGAACTTAAGGGTTTTGACTCGTGGACCCTAAGTAGGCCCATCAACTTTAATTTGTTAGTTTCCCCGAATGTGGGCTTAATCTATGATCGCTACGATGGGGTTGGGCGTATCTAGAATATAACAAAACTAGGGGTTGACAAAGACAAACTAAAAGGGACAGGGGAGGCTTTAATTTATAGCCTATGGTTGAGCTAGGCGGGTCCATGGGTGTTTGAGTGGTTAACTTTATCATAGGACATCTATTAGAGCACCTATGTAGCTAAGGCTATAGTGGTAAAGGTCACTCAAACATGGGTTTGACACATTAACCCTAATTTTAATCTAGAATGGGTCCATGCTAAATAGTGCCTATGGTTATTACTAAGTAGCTATTGCACTCTATTTTATTGAAAAATGGATTTTGGTTAGTGCACTCACTTGAGATTATACATATTGATAAGGCATCACCTGTCACTTAAAAGGAGTAATCAAAGATCTTTTTATAAATCATGAGTTGAGCATTGTTTGACCATGTGGTAAGGATTTTGATGAGATAAGCAAAATGAATGGCGAGTTTAATTGAATGGAAATTTTGATTAAGAAAAATAATTATTTAGCTCATTATCTATATTAATTTACACATCAACTTCAATTAATATTGTTTGTCGTGGCTAAAAATTGTTTATAAATTTTATCCTTTTTAGCATAATCTTCAATTTGATAAATATTAATGGAAATTTATGCAAAAGAATAAATATTCTTCATGAGAAGTAACTCAATAAGTTTATTGAGCAATTAAGAAATGAATAATTATCAATCGATAAAGAGTTGAATTAAGAAATTGCTCTTCAACGTGTTAGAGATATATGTTAGGGTTCACACTATGGATCGTTTACTAATTTACTTCTTTATTAGCATTTTTTAATTATAAAGAGCAATAATTTTTGTGACATTTGATATGAATTAGTCAAATAATTTTCCTGAAAATACATAAGAAAAAATTTTCTTTGTCAGAATTTTTAAATAAAAATATCTTATTTTGTATAAATTATTTTGAATTTATGTGTGAATATTTTTTTTTAAGTTAAAATAATAAATTATCTCTTAAATACTTTATCACTTAAATTATGAGAGATTATTTATAGACTTCTTCATCTAGCCAAATTTAAGAACAAAAAATATTTCATGATAAATAATTAAATATAAATTTTATTTACTTTTTAATTTTTATAATGTGCTTATTATTTCATTTTATAATGATGTTGCTATATCGACTGTGCTGCAATTTTGGTGCGCTGCCGAGGTTTTCAGAGCTGCAAACGATAAACCCCCAAGCTCCAATTCTCCTCCTTCTAAACCCTAATGGGAGAGTGGTAACAAGTCACCCTTTCTTATTAGGTTCAATGTTTTCTTCTTTCTAATTTTTTTTTCATGTTATGTGGAACTTGACCTGGTAATTCTGATGAAGTAGCTCGTTCTCTTGATTTCCATCACTGAGTTCTCTTGAATGAAGGGCGATCGAAGTTTTTAATACTGACATTCTTTAATAACTTCGACGAGGGAGGGAGGCAAGGCGATGTCAGCTTTATCAAATATATGGTTCTTTCGAGGTGACTTTTTATATATTTGTTCTGTTGTTTTTCTAACTAGCAAATTGTTGAAGTTTCAGTCTTTTTGTTTTGTTTCTCAAACTTTTATTTTTTATTTCTGTGTACAACCAAATTGGATAGCAAGATGATTCTTCTGTTTTCTCAGATGGATCCAGGCAAACAATGGGATCTTCTCGTGAAATTGTTACTGGAAAATCATTGCCTCAAATGTTTCAGGTGCTTTGAATCTCCATTAAAATATTATGGATTCCGTTATAGTCTAGCAATTTGTTTACTAAGTCCACTCTTGCATTTTTTTAATAAGGGGCAAATTTAGGAGTTCCTCTGAATAAATACCTCTGCTTCATGCACCCTGTAATGGAAGTGTAAACTTTCATTAAATTATTCATTTTGCAATGCAATTAATGTTTCTTTGCACAAATATGATTTTTGGCTGTTATGGAACTTGTAGAGACAATTTTGTGGAGAATTCAAATCAGGCAAGGTGCTAATTCTTATTAAGTGGAAGGGATCCTACCAGACAAAAGCTGAAAATTTTTCTTTAATAAAGTGCGCTAGAAAGGATGGGAAGTTTGATCCTTCATCAATTGAACCACCCCCGTACCATGTTTATATGGATTCAACTTCTGGACAGCTTGAACCAGCTTCAGGTGCTAGAGCAAGTATACCGGGAAAAGAATACTGGCCTGAGGGAACGGCCGACCGTGTGAGGGCTGCTAGGTCTCGTGAACCAGTTGGCCAATCATCAGGTAAGCCTTCTTATGGCAAGAATCCTGGAAGCCGGAGGAGGAAGCACATGACCCAAGCTGCTGCTTCAGAGATCCAAAAAATTAGTGCAAATGATGGGAGTGTTCTAGATAGCATGGATGATTCAGATAAGAAGAATAATCTTGATGACAATGTTAATCTCGATAATAGTAGTGATCGACATGTCGTTGGAACCTCAAGTTCATCTGGTACCTTGAATGAACTTAAAGAACCATCCAATGAATATGTTGTTTATAAGACTGAGGAAGAAAATGAGAATCTTAGTCCATATGAGTTGGACAAAAAAATGGGGCGCCCACATGCCTTTATTGATCCATCAATGGTTCATCCACCTGAAGAACCACAATCAAGTGAAAATCTTTGGTGGAACTGGAGGAAGCCTGAAGAAGGGCAATGGTCTAGGTGGCAAAGGAGGCGTCCAGATGTTGATACGGTTAGTCTTAAAAAAGTATTTCTTTTAGAAAAGATTAAAATTTCTTACTTTAACATATTAAATGAATGGTAGTAATTAGGTTGCATCATATTATGGCTCTTCATTGCTTGGTATGCGAAGATAATCTATCTAGAATGTGGGGGAAAGTTTTTGATATCTCCTAATATGTGCGGTATTTGCAGGTCTTTGCGAAGGCAATGGCAGAAACAGGTCAAATAAAGCTATATGGAGATCATCCAACTGTAACTGAAGCTACGCTTGCAAGGGCACGAAAGCATATATTTAAAGAGGAAAGGTGGAGTCAATACATTAACATATGCACATTCTAGTCATCTTCTTTTGGGGTCAAACGTGCTGTAACGAGTTTAGATTTTAGCAAAAGTTTGCTATCAAGCATGTAAATCATAATAGTAAAAGTTAGGTGCTTGGTGAAATTCATACTACCTATGTTCAAGCCCATCCCCAATATCACATCTAGCTAAATTACCATCATAGGTTAGTATATTATTGATAACCAGGCTAACATCTTCAAGATCTAGTTGCCATATGACACCTATAGTGCTTAATGTATTCCTTAAAAAGCTTATGATCCCAGCTGTAATTTTTTGTAGAATAGACACATACATAACTGCCCAAAATGCTGCAAAGAGGGCAGTTTTTAATCTACCAAATATGTATTATTTTATGTCAATGTATAGATAAAATAAAATGAAAAAGAAAAATAAAAAACAAAAAGCAAAACTAATCCCAAACAGCCCATTAGTTACATAAAAATGGAATTAGATCCTGTTATTCTTTCTCTCTCTCTTTCTCACTTTCATTTATAAATTACTAGACATATCTAACCTATGGTTATGAAACCTTAACCGCATGAATTGCAAGGCAAACTCTTTGTTACAGCCTACAATTTCCCTCCTTATCTTAAGACGACAAAAAAAAAATGATCACGAGATTCCTTCCTTTTCTCAATTCATCAAATCCCTACTGTGATCAGGCAATGAATGTTGTTTGCTAACCATGTTTTGTAGTCAGTTTCGGAATTCTGGAAGTTATTTTTTGTTCCTTGGTAGTTAAAATTTCTTGCTTTTGTTTTTTTTAAATTTGCCATATACGTTGGCATATTTGATATTCATTTTTTATTTCCTTTGATGCATTTTGGTGTTATTTAAGAAAATTATAAATGCGAAGCATTAAGTTTGCTCTTTGTGTAATGTTTCCTGAACTACCTAACTTCATTTTGCTTTCGATACCTATGCTTGTTCGAACATATCCAATATCTTTCTACTCCTGTAGGTTCTAGCTAATTGTTCTGTATGTTATAACTTCAACTGGTATCTACATTTAAAAATAGTCAAGCTCTTATTGTGTGTAATATTGAGGGGCTGAGAAGTTATTTTCTTGAAAATTTCTGTTGAGAAATCAGGCTTCGGGAGGAACAGAGGAGATTGGAGGATATAGGACCAATAGCATATTATTCAGAATGGGTAAAAGCATGGACTAAGGACACTTCACGAAAGGCTGTGCAGAAACATTATGAAGAAACTGGTGAGGATGAGAATACCCAGCTGATCACAATGTTCCAGCACCAAACTGCAGAAGAATACCGTATCATGATGGGCACTGATGTTCGTATTCAACGAGATCCGCTAGCAATGCGGATGCGTGAAGAGCTAATCAAAGAGAGTACATAAATACAACCTGACTTTACATCTATCTGTTTTTTTTTTTCTGTGCAGATTATAATTCTTTGTCTAACTATAAATTTAAATCAAGACTTCTGGCACTAGTAGTTTGGATGAAGCTGGTGTATGTTGAATAAATAGTCTTGTATCATTCTAACATTTCAAGGTAATCATTGGCATAATAGTGTTAATACATGCAGTTAACTCAGTTTCAATCCTACCATTAGATATTGTCAATCACCATTAATACTCCTGCAAAATTAGTGTGATTAACTAGAAGGAAAGAAAATTTTAAAACATTCAAATACCATCGCATAGTTACAATTCCTGTCTAGTTACTAAAATGAATAACCTTTAAAAGTGACTAAAATATTTACTTGATCATCTTGTAAATTTTCCCTTACAAGTGCTTCAGAGAAGGTTCACTAACTCGTGAAAAATTGTTAGCTTCTTGCTTAAAAACTGTAATATCTGTTGGTTGGCACTATTGGGTGGTATCAGTATTTTCTGATCAGTATTTGGATAAATAGATACTCCAGCTCAGTGTTGCTACCACCGCTGCCACCCACCTTTCCACCACCATGCACTTTCTTCATGCTTAGAAACTTGTTATAGGTTCTAATGTGATCAAAGTTTATTTAGTTGTTCGAGGTTTATGTTTATTTATGCTCTTAAAGATGCATGTTCAAATAGATTCTTCATAATTAGGAAAAGAGACCACGATGCTTAACAACATAGTGAGGTGAAGTGAAAACTTTGAAGTGCAAATCATTAACTTCATTAATTTATTGAAATTTTTTATGTTGGTTAGACCATGTAAGAGGATTGAATAAATTTTTAACTATTTACATTTGAAAGGTCTAAATGTATGAATTAAATAAAAAAAGGAATAATTTAGAAGTAATCTATGGGGAAAGAAAAATAAGATTTCATTAGTTTCAGGTATGACTTAAACCACAATTTAATATCATATTTTATTTTACTATATTGACATGGTCACAAACTAATTCTTAAATCTAGAATCATACACACTTAAGTTTCTTATAAATACAAATGATTAGAAAATCATTTTGATGAATAAATCATAAAATCTATTCCTACAAAAAGGAAAAATTTTAGAGGAATAAATGAGAAATGAATTTGTAAATAAATAGATTATTTTTTTTATATATAATGATTGAATTGATCGCCTAATTCAAGGTTGAGATGCGATACAGTAGTTATGCTTTCTACATGATGAAGTATAAGCTTTTAAAGCCTCAAAGTGAACCGGGAAGCATAAGTTTCAAACAGATTAAGCATTAAGTTTCAAGATTATGATTTTTTAAAGCATTTTGGGAGAGCTTTGCTTTGAAGTGCAACTAAGCGTTCATTTGAGTGAGTTTTTAAAAAATGGTTTTTCTGGAAAAATGTTTAGTAGCCTAGCTGTAAGTTATCTTTCTTTTCTTTTTGATAAATTCTTACATGTTCTTGGAATTATATTCTTAAATTATGATGAATGGACCTTTTTAAAGTGGGAGTTAACGTATTGACTTGAATTGTTCATCAATGGATTGGAGTTTCCTAGTGATAGACTCAACCCACGGTGACACCGACCCGGAGGGGGCTCGACGAATCCACATCGATGATCCGGTGACCGTGACTGAGCAAGTCTCCAAGAACTCCTTGGAGAAAGAACTCACCACCTAAGATCAAATCTTAGGATACAGGAATTCAAAATACTAAGACAAAAGCCTTTATTTCTTATTCTCCAAAATCTCTCATATTATAAGGGTTGGTTATGTATTTATAGAAAAATGTAGCAACATAATAGGCTACATCTAACATAAAAAAATTACATATATAGTCACACTAATCAACTAAATGAAATTAAGTTGGCCTGAAGTTTAACCAGCGTCATTCTACCGGGGTAAAGGAGGAAATTCAAGCTCGTAGTAAGATGTCCGGTTGACCACAATAAAGAGGTGGGTTTGGTTGGCTAAACCGATCTAGATATTTCCACCCTGCATCATTCTCCACGTCTAGGAGAGTCTTTAACATAAGCTGGAGTCGATGAAAAGTCGGATGGGTGACCAACTCAGACTGCATCTTTCTTAGTATCTTCAAACGACACTCTTCAAAGGTTTGATGGAACTCAACACCAAATGGATCAATCTTGCAAATATCAGCATCCACAACGAGCGCCTCCATGAAATTTGTGTCGGAATGCGCTAAGGTACCAAAGTGGTTGTCATGATCTTATTTGGTCATACCAATACCACTATCAACGAGGGAGAGAGCATTTGTTGCCTTATCATGAATGATATGCCTACCTCGGTAAAATGAAGCCGGAGTTGAGCTGTTAATCATGTTAAACTTCAGGCCAATTTAATTTCATTTAGTTGATTATTATGACTATATATGTAATTTTCTTTATGTTAGGTGTAGCCTATTATGATGCTACATTTTTCTATAAATATATAGCCAACACTGGTAGTAGGGGAGATTTTGAAGAATAAGAAATAAAGGCTTCTGCCTTGTTATTTTGAATTCATGTATCCTAAGATTTGATCTTATGTGGTGGGTTCTTTCTCCAAGGAGGAGTTCTTGGAGACTTGCTCGGCCACGGTCATTGGATTGTCGACGTGGATTCGTCAAACCCCCTCCAGTCTGGTGTCATTTGGTATCAGAGCTGGCAGGATCTTCTTGCTTTGTTTTCGATTTCTTGGACAAAGTTCAGGTTGCAGATCCACTGTCTTAGACAATCCACCAGGGAGTTTTCCTTTCTTTCCAAGATGACATATAGAAATTGATCTCAGATTTTGTGGTGAAGGAAGTCATCTACCAGTCGGTAGATTCCAGTGTCGGAAGAAGCCAAGTCGGAGGCCTACGGGTTCAGCTAGATCTCGTTCATCATGTCCTGATCTTTGGTGGTGAATCTGCTTTGGTGGCGAATCGACCTCATTTGGTATTCGGTGGCGAAGCTGAAGCGGTTGCTGCAATTCTTCATCCGAAGTGCTGACATACACCTTCTATTTGTTCTTGTGTGCGGACCTCAAGAATTTTTAGTTACCGGATTCTTTCTGCCATCTTCTCCAAACAATTACCTCCAAAAATCCTTAGCAAGATCAAGAACACCGAACATTTGACCCTGGCTCTTGAAGCTGTTGCAACTCTTCTCTTAATGCTCTAACTTTGGCGTTGGGGTAGTACTGCCTAAGACCTTCTCCTCCGCCGCCCTAGTCTTCGCCGACAGGGATCGGATCTCTCCGTCCGCCTCCATTTGCGGCATAACTTGCTTTCTTTCAATCGCTACATATGTCATTTCTCTAAAGCCGATTGGAAAATTAACCTATCAAGTCAAGAAATACAGAACTTCAACTAGCTGTTGCCACTTATTTCCCACCTCAAAGAACTGCAATTTCTAGTTCTTGGTCTAGAAATCAACAACTCATAGAGACGGTTAAAATGTCCCCTCAACGAAATCAACGGTGACCCATTCAAGAATAAGCATAATTTGAAGATCTACTACAAGAAATTGCCCGACTCAAACTACGATTGTCAAGGATTGAACAAAGGAAAAATTTGAGCCTCCTTGGCCGGGACTGTAATGGTGTCCGAGGCAAGTATGATGCCACTACGGCTTCAAGATTGCTCTTTCCAACTAAATCCTTGCTAACCGATGACGACAACGAGGGCATCTCAAATGATCAAATCTCCTCTACCCACGAAGACGTGTTTGAAGGGGCACTTCGTCAGTCTTCCACCCCACCCTCGATCGAGTCTAGCTTCGAAGAATTTGAAGATCCTTTTCCAAATTCGTCGTCTTTGCCTCTCTACGATGAGCTAGTGTATGATGTGTATGAGGACGACATGTTTATTAGAATTCTTGATCTTGATCATTCGACATGATGATGACGAGAGAAAGAAGGATGCCCAATCAGAGTTATTCATGCATAAGGCAATGAATGTCCTTGCCATCATTGGTAAGGGCAATGCTCTTCAAAATACATCTGATATCATCACAAATTTCAGAAATATCTTAGGAAATGCTACCAGTTCTATAGAGTCCAATACTTTAAGTCTGGGAATCAACAATTGGGTAGAGGTGAAAAGACTTGTTCTAGAGTCCAGTGCAGTTTATGCAGTGGTGTTACTGGTGCATTCCTCATGTCAACAAATGGAGAATGGATTCATGCCTTTTGTGCTGAGTGGTTGCTGGAATCAACATATAAAAGGTGCCAACAAAATCTTGTTGGGGAAATGGAAGTTATTTCAAAGGAAAAGGACATAATTACTTGTTGTATATATCATAACAGATTTGGTTTGTGCCTTAAGTACAGTTATGGACATTGCAAGGCTAAATTTTATCCAACCTGTGCAAGAAGTGTTAAGCTTATTCATGAACATAAAAGCTATTGGTGGCAGGTTCCAGCACAAGGCCTATTGTGAAAAACATAGCATGGAGCAGATAGAAAAGGTTGATAGTCAGCATGGTGCTGAGAGGCTTAAGAATATATAGTAATTGAGGGTTGCCCTATGTCGTCGACTTCATTTTATGTTGAAGTCTCTCCTAGACGGGAAGATTGACACAGGGTGGAAATATTCAGACCGGTTTAGCCAACCAAACCCGCCTCCTTATTGTGGACAACTAGACATCTTCCTATGAGCCTGAAGTTCCTCCTACCTTGGTAGAATTAAGTCGGAGCTGAGCTGCTTAATCTTGTTAAACTTCAGGTTAGTTTTATTCCATTTGGTAGTTATAGGGCTATATAGGTGTAATGCTTTCTTTTGTTGGTGTTGCTATTATGTTGCTACAATTGTCTATAAATACATAGCTAACACTTGTAATAGGCAGATTTTGAGAGATGAATAATATTTGAGTAGTTTTATTATGTTTTGTATTCCTGGATCCTGAGATTGATTCTCAGGTGGTAGATTCTTTTCCCAAGGAGTTCTTGGAGTTGTGTCCGGCAAAGGAGTTCTTGGAGTTGTGTCCGGCCACCGGATCATCGACGTGTATTCATCAAGCCCCTCCGGTCCGGTGTCACATGGTCTTTTGGTTGAGTTACTTTTATCTAAGATGATAAAGTTTGCATTCTTGTCAATTTAACCATCATTTTGAGCACTCTGTTTAACATATCTGTCATGAGACAATCGAGATTAATGATTTCTTCATTATTGACCTTTATGTTACTAAGCTAGGACTGAATGTCTTCCATTCAGTCTTCCATGATTGAGGCACAAATGGCGAGTTCTTCCTTATTTGAATTATTAGATCACTATGTACCAATGGATGAGGTGGTGCTTCCTAGCTTTGATTATTTTGACGGCTGAATGCCCTTTTGTTTTGCATGGAGGCAACTGTATGCTTCCCAGGATTGAGTCGCCAAAGGCGTTTTAGTCCTCATTAATCTATCCACTATGGTGTTATGGGTGAATTGCTACTTCCCTGTCCTGGCTATTTTTTTTTCTCATTTCTTTTATGGTTTATGTGGTCTGATTTTTAATTCAATTTACATAAAGGGTAATCGTTGGCTGATATGAGTTGACATACTTCAATTAAAACCTTTTATTCACTTTAGATTGGCAACTATCACATAATTGCTTTACTAACTGTGAATATTGAAAGATAATCTGAAATGTTGTATATTTTCAGCTTTTTGTTTTACGTAATTATCTTTTATCTTAAAACATTGGAAGTAATGTGCTTGACTTCAACATTTTTCAGTATGGGGTGGCGATCCAGTTTATCCAACTATCAACTATGTTCAAGATCCTGATGAAGTAATTGATTACAGAGGTCCGAATTTCCATGAGCCTACACCTGACGTACTGGCTTACCTTATGGAGGTAGATAATTTACAAAGTAATTTCTAGGCTAAAGAAGATAAAATATTACTGCTATCATCAAGTGGTAGTTGCATGGCTTATGAATGGGCATCATGGCCCTTCGTATATCTATAGAGAAAAGCATCAAAATTGTCCCTCAACTCTTTGTTAGAACCAAAATAGTCCCCCACTTTTTTGAGGGACCAATTTGGTCCCTTGGTCCCTCAACACTTTAAAATAGGATATTTTTTATTCTAACATTCAACATTGGAGTTTAATGGTGTTAAATATAAGAGTTTGGCCATTTTAATTAAATACTTATTAAATATAATTTTTAAATAATTATAATTTTGTGAAAAAATTATTAAATGCATTTTTAATAAAATAATAATAATAATAATTTTAGTTTTAATTTAAAAAATTTAGTCATATTTTATGGAATATGATATTTATTGATTTAGAGAAATCAAATGCAAATAGATGTTATTTTCAACTTAGTCAAACATATTTTTACCAATCATATTTTATAAAATATGACTAAAATTTTGAAATTAAAATAAAAAAAAAATTAATTTTTTATTTAAAAATATCTAATAAAATTTTTAGAAGAAATTAAATTAGTTGAAAATTATATTTAATAAATATTTAATTAAAAAATGACCAAAGTACCCTTACATTTAACACCATTAACTCAAACATTGAATTTTATGATTAAAAATGTCTTATTTTAAAGAGTTGAGGGATCAAATTGGTCCCTCAAAAAAGTTAGAGACCATTTTGTTCTCTCACAAAAATTGAGGGACCATTTTGATCCTTTTTCTTATATCTATATGACTATAGGAAGGAGGTGAACCAACCTAACAGGGTTATGTTACGACTATATGACTATAGGAAGGAGGTGAACCAATCCTAACAGGGTTATGTTACGAGCATTCATGTAAGTTCAATACAAGGCTGTCAATACACAAAGCACAATAAGAAGTGTAAAGCACAAACCAAGTGCACTCTTCATTCAACTGAAGCACACTTCTAATGACTAGTAGACATTCTAAACTTTAACATTGAGAAGATACTACAGGGTATCAAAATACTAAACAACCTTATAATTTATAAATAGCAGTAGCCGAGTTATATTCTTTAAGCTTTAATTAATCTAACGGATTTAGTCAGAGCTGTGAATGCTGTTGTTAACAATCCAAAAACATATCGACTATGTTCGTTTAAATTAAGTTATTGCATTTGTCTATCGTCAGAAACTTATTTGCAACTTAGCAACTGAATATAATTGAGCTCTTATTGGGACAAGCTTCAATTAATTTACCGAGTGTATTGGCTCCCTTGCATCTTTACTATTTGTTTTTTGGATTGATCTTGATTTAGGAATGGAAATAGTAGTGCTTAAAGACACTGATATTGAAGTTCTTCCAACTTTATTATTGAAAGACCGGAAAGGTCTGTAGACTTTGCAGCAATTCCAAATATGCTCGATATGGTTTCATGTTGAGCCTTTTTAGTAAGGTTTCACTTCTTTTAATATGGGAATCGTATCTCCTTTTTATCACAGCAAGGAAAAATCATATCAAGGGAAGAACTTCAGGAAATTTTAGATAAAGAAAAGAAGCAAGAATTTGAGGTGATTAATTCTTATATTTTTATGCTTTTATGGTATTTTATTCTGTTCTATGGGAAATTTTCTCATGATTATCAAATGCATCTTTATGCTATTTGAGCATAATTTCAGGTCACTGATATGGATGAAGCCATGGCAAGTGCAGTTGACATTGGAGAGAATGATGTAAGGGAAACTGGAGTTTCTTTACAATATCTTATAAAAATTTACAATGTTTCTGTTTTTTTTTTATATTAATTTCTCTTTATGATTATCTGAACAACTAGTTTGGCCTTCACCATTGTACCATCCACCATCATAAGAAGCTGCTTGCTTTCGTCCTTCCTATTTGTAGGCTTGCAATTAATTGCTGTGTTTCTTGGTATAGGATGAAGAAGATAGTGAGGATGATGAAGTTGAAACCAATGAAGCTGAAGAAGATGTAGAAGTAGTTGAGGAAAAAATCACCCGCAATTGGAGTGTTCTTAAAACAACACCTCAGCCTAGCAAATCAAAGGTGCCAAAAGAACTCTTGGTGCTGTTTTACATAGTGTAGTGTTTTATATCTGATAGGAAATACTTGAGTTCGCAAGTAATCCTATCGGATCTACTTGAGTTCGCAAGCAAACCTAACCAAAATCAGTAAAAACAGCGAGAAAAACATAGAAACGTCGTTGAAAAGCAAGCACACAATAGCAATGTCTTTATAGAAAGCAAAAGGAACAAACACCAAGCAAGATACAAGAGATCCTCAATTCGAGAGGAGGATCGTCTCTACCAAATATCTAAACAGGAGAGTCTAGAGACCAAGCACCAAGAACCCTAGTTTTCCAATCAATCAAAACATATCTCTCCCTAATCCTCTCAAGCACTTTAATACAAAAGGTTTCCTAATTACTTTTCCCTCCCAAAGCCTAAGCCGCCCCACCTTTTCCCCTTTGAATTTGTTTTGCTGGATGGGACCCACCCAAAGGGCGGAAAAGCATAGGAGGAGGTGGGCTACTTCCACCTCCTGTACGCGTGCTGAACCGGCCCAATGGCCGGCTGGGCCAGTTCAGCCAGAACTGGCATAACAATATAATGTGCAGAGTTTCCGGTTTCTTGTGTTAGGAAAGTATCTAGTATTTGATGATCATGATTATATTGCAATATTTGGTACGTTATTTAGTTATACCTAGTTGGATAGGTCGTGGAAATCTGGTGAATTGCAAATTTGTCTATCTCATGAAATTATAATGATCCAAACAACTATTCTATAGGCTTAGCAATTAGAAATTTATGCATATTGCTGTAACAGATGTTCCAATTACTTATAAACATGCAAAGTTAAACTCTAAACTATTGTTGCAGTTGCATTATAGCTAGCCAATTTGTATTTCCGAGTATTCCATTGGGCTCTAAATAGCCTTCTGAAGTTTTCTAAATCACCCAAAATTGACTTGAGATGCATTTTATTTATACCATACAGGAAAAACCTAGAAAGAAAAGTCCAATGTCACTGGAAGAGGCGATTGATGATTCAGAAAACCTAACAGACTTCCTCATGGACTTCGATGAGGATGAGTGATGGATTCAGGTTTTATTGGTTAGTAGGTTAAATGTTTTTCCTTCCTTGCTTTATCTTTCTCATTTGGAGGACGCAAACTATAACCTGCCAATTTCTTATTTTTCATTCTTTACTTGATGGAAATATTAGCTTATGACTGCCATTTGTTTTTTGTATGGATTTATCAGTCACCTGCTACTCTGTTATTCTGATTGTGTGTTCAATCAAAATTATCCTTATCTTGTATTGATTTGCATTTTCTACATAATTTAATAAATGTGTTTTGTGTTCTAAAATGTGAAGTATGTGTAGAATTGACACCCTTTGATACCTAAATATAACTAGAGTATGTGTGAAATTGTGATCTTTTTGCTTAATAATCACTGAAAAGATGATTGTGCTTATTACAATAATTACATCAAATATTTATGTTAGAATATGTGCATGGTGTTGGTATTGAGATGCGTGATCTGCATGGTGAAAGTGATTGTTAACATTCATTTTCCTTTCTAGGTATTGTGTTAGTGTTAGCATGTGATTCATTAATGAATTCTAATCTTTCTTTCAATAAAATTTTTGTTCATGTTTGCAAATTAGTAGAGATCTATCAAGTAAGAAAAGTATACTTTTATGTTCAATTCATTACAATCATTGTAAGACCCAAAATTTTCAGGTATAAAAATTTGAAAGTTGTTTTTAAAATTTTAATGTGAATTTACTATTAAATTATTATTTATAGTTGAATTACTGTTTAGTAATTATGGATATTTATTTTAAGCAATAAGTTCAATTAAATTAAATATTTAATTAATTCTTGAATAGATGCTTCCTTAGGGATATGAGAACAGTTATAGTGTGGGCCTCTCTTCCTACCACTTCAAGTAAGTTTGGAGTTTCCATGCGTACAAGCAGTGAGGGATTGTAGCAAGGCACGGCACAGAGCCGTGAAGAAAGAGATCGGCTGTAGAGAGGGACAAATTATTTGGTGCGGAGTCCGGACGCAGCACTTATTCTGGACTCCAATTAAATTTTTACATGTGTAATACGGACACGTGGATATTTAATTGGATTTCATTTTTTTAGGACATTTTATTTTTCGTTGAAGGGCGGCAAAAATAAAAGCACAGCAAAAGCGCAACACAAAGGCAGTAAAAGCGCGGTGAAAGCGTAAGGGCAGCAAAAGCACAGTAAAAGTGAAAGCACAGTAAAAGCGCAGGAAAAAGGTAACAAATTACACGTTTTAAATTTCTAAAAAAAATTTCTTACGAAAAGTGCAGTAAATATCAACTTGTGTATAAATTTAATTGGTGCTACGTCCAGACTCCGCACCAAATAATTTGCTGTAGAGAGGAGTGCGGCTTAGATCAAAGGTTGGATCTGGCATTCTACAGGAGAGGGATCGGCACAGTGTTCTATTGTTGAGAGAGCACAATACTGTGAAGAGGGGATCGGCTGGTGCTGGGACTGAAGAGGATTCGACAATGTAGGCAGGAGGGTATCATGCAGTGCAGGTTTGAAAGAGAACAGCTTGCAGTGGGTTGCTGTGAAGTATTAGTGTCTGTGAAGGATACGAAAAATTTAGGTGCAGTAAGAAACATAAGAAAATTAAAGGAAGAAGAAATCAAGGAAAGTATTTTTGGTATATTCATAATTGTCTTTTAGATTTTCAAAAAGGTGATAGAAGTTTCTAAAGCAATTATATCTAATTGTATTATTAGGATTTATTGGGTACATGCAGAAGGGAGGTTACGAGCTAAATGGTTATGTTAGTATAAATTGTTGTTATATAATTTTATTTGTGATAAATTGTGGTATTTATAGAATTAGAGAGATGAATTCTAGGTAACTTATAAACGAAGAAGAGCTGAGGAGGAGGATTTGGGGAAACGGTTTGTCAAAGCGGTAAGTTATGTATGTTTTAAATTACTAAAGCAAGAATTATTAATTCTAGTTACATACCATGTCACTTGACTTGTTTCAACATATAAATGCATTATGAGAATTTCAATAGTGAATATGAGCATGCATTCAAGTATTTATGTATAAGCAATTGCATATTCATATGAATAATTAGAGTTTGAAATAAGATCAAGTATGAATGTTTAAAACTTTTCTTAGCTGGTAATATTATGGAAGAAGTTCAATTCTTTGCCTATTGTAGACACATTCTTTGTATGCAAACAGTATAACAGAAATATTGTTATGAAAGCATGCAACAATACAAAGTAAGCATGAATTACAAGTATTTGAAGTCTACTGCATATCAAATTAGAAAAGATTGATTATAAAATGATATAATACCTGCAATAGCTAGTAGGGCAAAAGTGGTCCCATATATGATACCTAAATTACAAGAGGGACAAAAGGGACCCTATATATGATACCTTCATTGCTGGTTGGGCAAAAAAGGCCCCAAACATGATACTTGCATAGTAGGTGAGGCAAAAGGGACCCCTAAAGAGGCAAAAGATACCTCCATATAGTTCAATAACGATAATGACAGGTTTACCTAAGCTTCATTGAATATTTTTATGAAAATTTAGCCAAATCTTTATAAGGCTAATATTGATAATCTGTACATACTTTAAAAGAATTAAAGGTTAATCCTAAATATGATTTATGTTATTTTTTGCAAATAATGGTAAGTTTATTTAATTATGATTTCAATGTTATGATTTCTTATAATATTGCATTTAAGTTGCTATTTAATTTGCATAATTTTATGAGCCTAATAGCTCACTAGTTTTTATATTGGTTGTTGTTACAGAAAAAGGTAAAGCGAATGTGGAGACCAATTAGGCAAGGGTTAGATTTATATTGACTGTTGTTACAGAAAAAGATAAAGAGAATGTGGAGATTGATTAGGCAAGAGTTAGAAACTTTAGGTTTTATGTTTAGAAGTGTTTGTGATATTTTTTTTATAAGGTATGTAAGCAGTTTAACTATGATGAAACATTATGATTTTCTTAGTAGCTCTGTAAGTATTGTTGTGATGTAATTGAAATTATTAGATGCTTCCATTTATTCAGTAAATATAATTGCCATTAGATGTTTTATTCAACTATTCAAATGATGAACAGTATCATATGTTGAGAATGAATTTTATGTTAAATTCTTTAGTACTCTATGTTGCTCGTAAGGAATATCATGGGGTATTACAATCATTTTCTTATACTTGAAAATTCCCTAAGTTTTTTTGTTCTATTTATGATGACAAGTTTTTCTTTCTAAACTTTTGTTCTCTATGCAAATAAAAAAGGTCTTATTTAACTCTTCATATGAAATATCATATTTATATAGCTGTTGAGGAGCAAATTCCTCTTCTCGAGTCACGATGAATGAGTTTCCTTCTGTTCTGAATCTCTTGATATTGATGATGATTCTGAATTTGAATTCTCCCACAAGGTCTTCTTTTTCATCTTCTATTTCTTTTACTGATCGTTCTTCTACATACAGTCATTCTCTTGATACTGTCTTCTATTAGATCTGAGCAATCCTATTTGATTTGGTTTTTTGTTCTTGCATTGATTGCATCTAATTCCATTTTTCCCAAAAAACTCCTAATGTTTATTTTAAGAACTTCTTGACTTCTGATACATTTATTGTCTCTTCTTCTGCATTGATCCTATTTATCTTAAAATCATGGATAGCTCTTTCACCATTCTTTCACTTCCAGTAGTGGATTCATTAGATTCTTCTACTTGGAGAGCTATTGCTTTTTTTTTTTTAATTCTTTTTTTTTTTCTTAAGGGCTTTTCTGATTCTCTTCTGGACTCCCTGCTCATGAGCTAATAATAAAGGACCCGACAATCTATGTACTCTTATTATGGGTGAGTGTAACCTAATATTAAGGCTTCATTTGAGACAGTTTTCTGTCTGCTTCTTAAAGTAATTTTTTTTTTATAAAAATTAAAACTTTTGTTATAAGAAGTAGCTTTAAGAAGCAGAATGAAAGCCGTCCCAAACGAAGCTTAGGTTTATGAGATAAAAGTAGATTAAGAGTTTATTTGAGATATTTTTTTATTATTTTATATTTTAGATTGTAATCATAATTTATATTTTGCAACTGTTTTTTTTTTTTAAGTTTTTAAAGAAATTTTTCTACTAGTAAGTTGTTATTTATATAGTTTTCGAAAATTTTATTTTGAGAATAGTTTATAATCAACTTTTTAAAAATCTATAGTTATTTCAAACACTAAGTTTTTCCCGAAAAAAAAAAACAAACAAATTAATTATTTTGCACAAAAAAAATCTGGCAAAATATTATTATGGTACAAGTGGTCTTGCAATACTAAGTTAGGCTCAAGTTTGGGATAATTTTTTATTATTTCTTAAAATAGCTTTCTATTATAAATTATTAAATTTTAATTTTTATATTAAAAGTTACATTAAGAAGTAGTATGAAAGCTGTCCAAACGAAGCCTTTATCGTTGTACTCAAATTGGCGCTCTGAAGCTTTAGGAAAAAAGATCTTAAGCCCTTTGAAATGGAACTTTTATTTTATCCAGTGAACGTACGTTCCTCTACGTTCGGTTTGGGCAAAAAACGCGCTTGTACCGAGTACCTAGTTGTACCGAGTTTTTTCAAAAAACTCGGTACGAAAAAAGATCTTAAGCCCTTTGAAATGAGGGGTTCGAATGATTACAAAAAAATGATTATATATTTGATGCATCAATCTTAATTAAGACATAATCAGCAAAACTTAGAAGATCTATTGAGCAAATTGACTTTCGAAGTTTTTTGTTGAAATTTGTTTATAAATAGATTTGCTTATGAGTGCTTGAGCCAAATGATCAATCTTTTTTTTTTTTCATCCAAAGGTTTGGGGCTTAGAGAGATTATTATATGAGGAGTCTGAATAGGAGAACCGTTCTGTTTTTGTGAGTATGTGTAGTAAAAGAGTAATTATTGTATATCATTGTATATCGGGTGTATCATTGTATATCGGGTGACATGACGATTGGCCTCCAGCTGGTCTGGTGACCACATGTAATAATTTCTCTTCTTTAGGACATTTTTCTTTTTATTTTCTAAACCAATTCTTTAGTATAAAAATTACTAGTTTAAATTTTTTTTTGATTAAAAATTTATTTTAAAAAATAATAAGAAAGTTATTGTGAGACCTCGTTCCCTTACTGTTCCTTTCTGACTTGGATTTTCCTCCCAGGATCGTCCGGGACGATATTGAGATCGTCCAGGCCGATAATATCAACAAAGGCCTTCATATTCTTAGATTTTTGGATATGAATAAAGAATCATCTGTCTAATTTTTTATCCTATGAAGACTTATCATATTATATGACATTTTAGCTAAATATTACTATCAATTTCTAACTTGTTCTTGTAGATTTTTTTTTTTAATAATGGAGATTTTATTCCAATAAAAAGGGAAGATACAAGCTAGCTAAATTAGTCCAATAAAGGACAATACAACATATACAAGAAAAAAATAGCCTCAAAGAAATAATAGTAATAATCCTAGACACAATGACTCTGGGCTTAGTTAATGGCGAATTCTGAAACCACCCAACAATAGACAAAGGCCATCCAAAGGAGGAATAAGCATTAGGCCACCGGCCACGTAGAGGAAGTCCCAAACAGACTAAGCATAGCTGCATCCCAAATAACATCCACTAAGCATACACCAACAGTGGTTGCCACAAGCCAAACCGAGCAGGTGGAGAGCAGAAATGCCTCATCATTGCCCAAGAAAAATAAACCCCCGGCATCAACATCCAAACCAACGAAAACCAACCACATCCGCATACCCGAAAAGCCAAACCACCCAAGAAAGGAAAGTCCAACCCAATCAAAAGAAATTGCCCAACACATTATTTGGTTTTACTTCTACGACGCTTGCCTCCACCAAAGGAGAAAGCTTTATCAACAGAATGACTCACATGCAAACTATATAATTCATGAAACTTGTCAATCGGTTCTGCCAAAACATCCCTCATCCCTCCCCCACAAGAAGAGGAATCATTCAACTAGTCAGAAGGATCACGAGAGGAATCTATCAACCTGCTAGCCACATGAGCTTTTAGCTCATCAATGGAAATTAGAGAAATTGGGACATCAACAAAATGAGCAGGCTCAATCACACTAAAATGCACACTTACCGATGTATTACCTAGCTCAGAAGAACCAACAACCACCACTTTATTAACACCATACTGACCTAAAAACTATCCTGCTAGATTATCACAAGAAACACAAATATTAGAGGACTTCTCAACAACATTAGGGGAAATTGACAGAGAGCAACTCGCAGGCACAAAAGCCCTCTCCAAGTCAACAGCAGGAGACTCCAAACCCTCCACAGAAACATCAACAACACCCTCAACAACATCCTTATTAATTCCACGTGAATGAGCCTCACAACTTCAGCTACAATCTCATTATTTTCATAGGAAGTATCTGCAAGCAAAGCAACAGGCAACGACACATCAATTCCATTAACGACTTACTCATGAGGATGAAGCATAGCATCTGTATCGAGCACAACCAAATGGCCCTCATCACCCAAAGACAAAAGATCATTAGAATTGGTATCATTAAGATTAACATTCCAGGGGATTTTGTTACCAGTATTGATTAGCTCAGTATCAATAGGATTAACATCCACATTAGTATGTGCTTTAAGCAAATTGGGGTGCAAGATATTGCATTCAGATTTCGAATGACCCAAAGCTTTACAGTAAGAGAAGTACGCATGAAAATTTACCATAACCACGAACTGGATATAACCCAAACAATTTGGACCAACCCACACCTTATTGGGAAAATATTTGGTAACATCTAATTCCACCAAAACACGTGCAATCGCAGGTCTAAAACCAATGGATGTAACATGATCAATTTTAAGGGGGAAGCCAAACATAGAACCAAGACCATGAAGAATCCTAGGCAAGAATAAATGGGGTCTCAAATTAGGGAATAATACCCAAATAAAAATAATGGGTGACTCAACATCCACGTCAAACAAAGGCGACCACTTAATCATCTTTATGTAGCAATTGTTAATAAAATAGGAGCTGTGTGCAAAGACACGACAGTAATCCAAATCGATCACAAGCTTGATTAATACATGCTTAAAATTTAGAACAGTTGCCGAAAACTCACCAATAAGCTTAAGGTTTAAGAAAAATTTTTGAATAGCTTCAAGGGAGGGTCTATGGGTAGGAAAGTTTCTAACCAAAGCGAATTCAAAAGGAACAGTGATAGCTAGAATTTCAGTCTTCGAAATCCACGAGGGCAAACCACGACGAGAAGTGGTTTTAAGGTCAGGAAAAGAGGAAGAACTACCAGATAAAGCATTACGAAATGACCTAGAAGAGGTCTTACCATCCAGAAAATCGGGATCCACTAATCGCTTGCCGGCCATCGACGGAAAATGCCCGAAAAGAATGAAAACTCAAGGAATGCACAAAATGGAAAAGCAAAAAACTTCCTTGAAGCTGTCCTTGTAGAATTTATAAATATATTCTATACCAATTTTAGGGTTTATGTTGATTGGAGTAATAGATGAACTTAGTTAGAGCAACTTATATCTAATCCAATTATATTAACTAAATATTGGTTTTATGGTGTAGCTGAGGTGAAAATTAGAGCACATTAGCTTTCTTATTCATATTAAATGACTATTTTCCCCCTGGTGCTTTGAGATGCATAAAATAATTGTAGATTTGGAATAGCACTTCTTGATCTTAACTTACATTCGTTTTTTATTGTATTGAAGGATTTATCTTAAGAACGAAGGATTTTTCTTTCCAACACTTCTTTCTTTAATTTATTAGAAATTGTTTATCAATTTATTAATTTTTCTCTATTTTTATTTTGGGATTGTTTAATTGAAGGGAATGGATGAGAAGAGGATCATAATACTTAAAAGAAAGTTTTTAGATTAAATTTATTAAATTAATTTACATTATAAATTATTTAATATTAAAGTTTAATTGAATGTGCATAAAATGCATGTTATTAGAATTATTAAAATTAAAATGAAAATAAATGCGCTTTAAACTAAACCTACAAATTAAAAAAAATAAAAATTTCCTTTTTAATCTAGTTGTATTAGATACATCTTATATTAAGAAATATGGAGACCAAACAAGATTTAGTTTTTATTTGGGACATATTTTTTATTACTTTATGAGGTAGTTTTTTAATAAAAAATGTATTGAATTTAAGAATTTGGTATTAAAAAACTGTTTTTCAAAGCATGAAGAAATCTGTTCGTCTTCATTTGGGATGATTTTTTTGCTGTTTTTTAAAGAATTTTTTGTACTAAAAAATTATTTTAAGAAGTAGTAAAAAAGTTTTCTAAAAAAAGTAAAAATCTAGTTAAAAAAGTATTAAAAATGATATTTTATTTATTAGATTTAAATGAAAATTTGAATATTATCAAAATAAAGTGATGAAAAAACCTTACTTTGTGGGATAAAGTATAAAAGCTTATAGTTGTTGTATCCAACGGTCAGGAGCATCTGATCGGTGCAGGGCATCCGACGGCGAGGGTTGTGCTTGAACTTCAGTGAACGACATAATTTCTTTGTTTAGAACTCACCAGCCTCTTCTCAAGCCGTCCACGAAACCCTAATCTTGTTTGTGATTGCTGGGGCTCTGCGTCCTAAGAGGGATATTCACCGCTTCGTGAAATGGCCTAAGGTAGTGAGAATCCAGTGGCGGAGGAGGGTCCTCAAGCAGCGTTTGAAGGTTCCTCCAGCGGTTAACCGGTTTCGCAAGGAATTTGGACAAGAACCTCGGTAATCATTTATCTTGCTTCCAGTCACAAATTAATCCTGGAATTGTAGTTTCTGAATGGCGTATCTGGCTGTGCCGAGGGGCAAATTATTGGGTCAGGTGATCGGAGGCGGAAAATCAGTTCGGACATCTAATAAAAATTTGCTGCGTCACCTTGCGCTTTAGTTGCGTTTTTTGACTTGCGCTTTGGTTGCGCTTTAGTTGCGCTTTTTGACTTGCGCTTTAGTTGCGTTTTACCTGCGCTTTAGTTGCGTTAATTTTAAAATAATATTTTATTAATATCCAGACCCATATCTGCATTCGGTCACCTGACCCAATAATTTGCTGTGCCAAGGACTTCTAACATCGGGGCCTGGTTTAAGAAAAGCTTTATTGCCATTAACTTATGTTTAATGATTATAATACCGTCCTTTAATTTTCTCCTTAGAAATATTAGGGCTGTTGGGCAACAAGTAGATTTAACTTTAGTAGAATTTAATACACACATCATTTCTTTTAAGTAGGGTTTCATGAGAGGATTAAATCTTGAAAATTGTATGATAATATTTATGATAAATTTTAATAATATTTGACATATATTTTTGAAATAATTAAAATATTTAAGGTGGTTAAAAAATTTAATACGTTTAGTTATTATTTATAATATTTTATAATAATTATTTTCATTTAAAATCATATTTAATCCTATTAATTATTTTAAAATAACTAAATAGTTAACTAATAATTTAATTAATTATTCAATTAGTTTACTTAAGTATTAATATTTTGAAATTTATTAATTAAGTTATCCAACATCAACTTACGGGAGTCTAGGCTTTTGCGCTTTTGCCATCTCCCTTTCTCTATTTCTTTCGGCTTCGTTTCGTACGCAGGAGTTGTAGAAGTTTTCACGAGTTCTTACTTCGCGCTGTTCGACTTCTCTCCTTCGACGACTTTACCTTCCTGTTGGAGCGGAGATTACGACATTTTTGATCGACAGCAACAACGGGAGCTCGTTCTAGTGAAGGAACCTTTATCCCTTCGAACGCATCTTAGGCCAAATCCGTAAATCCGCCGAACAGAAGGATTCGTAATTCCGGCATTTACCCAAAGAGGGAATTTTCCGTCAACCACGGCTCCTGATTTACTGTGAATCTTGGTATATTGCATTTTCCGTTTGGCTGATTTAGCTCAAACAACCGCTCTCAAATCCGCCTAAATCCTGTATCCAAACACCCTTTAGTAGTAAATCTGTGTATTAAATTCACGACAAAAATTTGACAAGATATTAAATCTAGTTAAATTTTGTTATACTTTTTTGCACAGTTAATCAGAATTTATGGGCGGTTCATTTCTTTTAAAAAATCTTAAAAATTAAGTTATTTTTGAATTTAATCTTGAGTGTTAGTACTACTTATTTAATTTATAATATAATTAATCATCAATTAAATTATAATGAATTTAAATAATTTAAATTAGAAAATCAAATTAATTATTCAAATAAGTTAATTATTAGTATAATACTAATTATCAAAATTATTTTATTTAAGTATAATGTAATAAGATTTGATTTTCTAAACTATATTGATAATATCAATAATTAATTAATTATTGTTTGAAATAATTAATTATTTAACTAATAATCCAACTAATGATTTAATAGTTTAAAATTTTTAATTACACTAGCAATTATCTAATTAATTATCAAATAATTTAATTATTAGTTATAACACTAATTATCAAATTATTTATTTTCCTAGATGGTAGCAATATTGACCTTTTCGTGCTTTTATGATTTGTATGCTTAATGATTGAAATATAATTCAGTTTCTGTATTTGCTCACATTCAGCTTTTTGGATAATTTAGTAGTCCTATTTTCATTTTGTTTTTCTCCATTTATACAAGTCAAAATGGAGGTTGATCAAGAGCAAATCGAGAGTTTTGGAGTTTTGCTGAAGCAAGGTGCCGAAGCTGTAAGATAATTATTATGAAAAAATTGCTTTTTTTTCATGTTGTGTAGGTTGTAAGTGCGTAATTGATATTTTTTCAGAGGATCTTCGATTCAGACTTTGTAGGGCGTCGATCAATTGTTAAAAATCGCTTTTCAAAGAAGTATAGACATCCTGCTCTGGACTCAAAATTGACTCTTAGACGTCTGAATGCCGTAAGTAATTATAATTATTCTTCTTTATATATTTCTTTTCTAGTGTTGTGTTAATGTTAGAGGTGGGCAGGGGCAGAACCAACCTTAATTTTCAGGAGGGGCAAACTTATAAGTAACTGTTTTTGTTGCCTAGAATTTGGCTTGACCCTTCACTACAAGAGAATTGATCAATAGCGACCCCTATTTGTTCATATCCTTAATTGTCGCACGCTTCGCAGATATATCGAGGGTCCAAGAGGCCAGCGCTCCCTGGCGGGGTTAGACATGCCCGGTCAGGTCGCGGGGTCAAGGGGCAACGTACCCTGGAATAAATTTTGGTTGTAATGACTAATGATATTTTTGGAATTTAAATTAATAAATAAAATGTTGAATTCTATTTACTATTTGCTAGGGGCACTTGCCTAAAGACTATAGTATTTTAAAACTTTTAGGAGGGGCAATTGCCTAAAAATCATTTTAATAAAGACTAAAAAATAAATAGAGGAGGACAAATTACCTCAAGAATAAAATAGCAAATTTTTTTTTAGGGATGGCAATTGCCCTCCGACATAAAGGGGTTTCCACCTGTGGGGGTGGGGGTGGGGAGGTGGTGATTGGTTTAACCAGGGTTCATATTTTGAATGCCACATTATATCTTTTGCATATATTTTTTTGCCTGAAGCATGGTTTTAATGCCAAACTTCCATTTGTGTTTTGTTGGGAAATCCATTATGCCCATTTTCCGTTTTCAGAAAATTATTACATAAAACCACTTGATATTTGGAGCAGGAAGCTCGCTGTATGACAAAAGCAAGAAAACTTGGTGTTCCCACTCCTGTCCTATATGCTATTGATCCATTGCTGCATACGCTTACACTTGAATTTGTGGAAGGAAAAGCTGTGAAAGACATACTCCTTGACTTTGGGTTGTATGGCATAAATGAGGAGTTGATGAATGAACTCGCCAAACAAATCGGTGTTGCTATTGGGAAATTGCATGATGGCGGTCTAATTCATGGTGATTTGACGACATCAAATATGATTATTCGTGAAGGGACTAATCAATTGGTGAGAGATTTTGATGAAATATATATTTTTTAGCATTTTAACTGCATATTATTGGTCTCTTTGGAGCAGTTTTTTTCACAACTTTATTATTATTTTTTAAAGTCAGTTACAATTTTGTGTGGCCATAATCATGTTACTTTTCATAAATTTTATGATTAGTACCGACTTTTTTGAACAATATTTGTTAGAATGTAGTAATCATAAGGATGTTATTTGACTTTTTCAAAAGAGAAAAAATATAATACCCACAATAACTTTTAAAACATATATATTTCCCATAATAGTTAAGCAGCTTATAAAATCACTTTTACAGACAAATGGAACCACCCCAAATGGACCCTACATCTCTTTTAGATAAGCTATTTCCTAAGTGTTGGATCTCCCTCCTGTTGTAGGGTCATATATTCATGTAGATCATAACAAGTTCACATGGTTCTTCCAGGTGCTAATTGACTTTGGTCTAAGTTTCACATCAACTATTCCTGAGGACAAAGCTGTTGATCTATACGTGTTAGAGAGAGCTTTATTAGCTATGCATTCTTCATGTGGGAATGTGGTAAGTCATATTATTCCCATTTACTCGGAAATTCTATTTTTATTTGTTGATTTCTCCCTCTCTTTCATCATTTATTTTGTTATATCAAAAGTGATTGCAGAAAAGTACTTTTTTTTCTTCTAAGTTTTATAAATTAATGTGTTAATTATCTTTAAAGTTAAAAAACTTTTGAATTCATGCAGTGTTCTGTATGTGCTAACCTCTCATATCAGTATTGTACAACTAAATTCCCTGGCTATTCAGTGACTGCTAATTTATTATAAGAACTTAGCATGTACTAATGTGGTTGCTAAGAGAAGCTATTTATCATTTGAGCAGATGGATATAATACTTGCTGCATATAGGAAGTCTTCAAAGCAGTGGTCATCTACAATGAACAAGTTAGCTCAGGGTATGAATAATATAAACTCACATTATAGCCTCTCTCATCTTCTTGGAGTCCGTTTGCGATGGCTGCAATTTTGTGTAAATTTTGCTATAGAGCTTTTCTAGGGGAAGTAAGAATTTTTTAGAACTTTGTGGGTGTTATGAAACTTTTTCTTTTGAAAAAGATCGGATAATAGTTTTTTAACAATTACCACATATGAGTAAATTATTTCCCATCATAAAGTTTCTAAAAAATAATAATAGCGTAGTAACCAAATAAGATTATGATTATTATATAAAAAGTAAAACGATCGAAAATTGTTCTAAATAGACCCTAAATATTTAACTAATGCTTAGTCTTTTCTTTTCTTTTTCTTCCATAAAAGTGAGATTGCGAGGGCGGAAGCGAACGATGGTAGGATGATTCTTCTCCAGAACAAAAGCTCATCCCATTCACTTCAGCAACATCCTTTGTAATTTTCTACTTAAATGTAAGATGCCATTTTACTTGCTTGGATGTTAAGACTACATAAGATTTGTTTTAAGGCAAACTTGTAGCTTTCTACTTGATTGTAAGAAACCATTTTACTTTTGCTAAGAATCCAAGATATCTTTTAATTCTGTAGCTGAGATAAACTTTGATTTTATACTCTACATAAGATTTGTTTTGATCTTGAGGGGACTACAAAGCTTCAAAAGTCAGATAATTAGTTATGAAGAAATACATGTGACTTGATGATGGCTCCCCAACAGGACTTGATGGGTTGCATCTTATCCTTTCATTGTGGCTTTTTAGTGTCTATTTATTATGTTTAGAAATAACATTTTGTTGCCACAAGATGAACTATGCTTGAATTTTGTTTTTCTTTTGAGTTTCTTGTAGATTTTTTTTTTTAATTTCCTTATCTATATTTTGTTGTCATTGAAAAGGGAGACCACTACCATGAAACTCTTTAGTTATACGACTAAGAATCTATTTGTAATAATTTTCTTACTGTTTTATTTTTTAAATAGTAATTATAGTTCTGTTTGATTATTGTTTTCTTATCATTTTCAATGAATTTTTGTGCTATGAAGTTATCTGTCAGCTGTTTTAAAAAAAATTACTTTCCGTAGAACAGTTTTACAAAAAAAATTTACAAAAAATTATGGCTATTCTAAATAGACCCCAGGGCTTATTTATAGGCATTTAAACTGTTTGTATGGTGGGAGAAGCAATTCCTTTAAAGTAGCGTATTTGTTTGGTTACAAAATTTTGACATTTTTTTCTTTCTATTTTTTACTGCATTTGATTTAGAAAAGTTATGTTTTTGAGAAATCAGAATAGAAATTATGTTTGAGAGGCAGCTTAGAAAAAAAAAATTTTTCGCACAAATATGAAAAATGAGCTGACCCCATTGAAGTTTAAGTTGGACGTGAAATGAATTTTTTTTTGCAATATGGTGAAACTCATGAGTGTTGGTGAAATGATTTGTTTATATTTGTTATTGGTGTTGCTTTATTATTGTTGCGGGCTGAAAGATTCACGGTGATAGAGTTAGTGATTTTTTCGTCTTAGCAACAAAAACAACAAAAATCACATCAAATCTTTATACCACTATATGGAGTTGGCTACATTAATTTTTTTTCTTCATTTTGTCATGTTAAAAGTGAAAGTCTCATTTAAATATAATAAATGTCATTTTTAATATTTTCTAAGTCATTAGTTTATATCCTATCTTTCTTAACATAAGTCAAATCTAATATATCTACTTTCCTAACTTGGTCATTGGAAAGTCGTCGTTTTATGTGATCAAACCATCTAAGGCAACACTCTCTAACATTTTCTTCCACTGGAGTCACTCCAACCCTTTCACGTATATGTTTATTTGATATCATGTCTCTAAGAGTAAAGTTATTCATTCACCTGATCATCTTCATCTTTGTAATACTTAACTTAATATTATACTTCTCTCTTACTAGCCAATATTTTGCACCATAAAGCATTGTAGTTCTAATCAAGGTTTTGAAAACCGGACCGGACATTTCTACTTGATTGTAAGAAACCATTTTACTTTTGCTAAGAATCCAAGATATCTTTTAATTCTGTAGCTGAGATAAACTTTGATTTTATACTCTACATAAGATTTGTTTTGATCTTGAGGGGACTACAAAGCTTCAAAAGTCAGATAATTAGTTATGAAGAAATACATGTGATTTGATGATGGCTCCCCAACAGGACTTGATAACATTTTGTCACATGTATTTAGACCAAAAAAAATTATGGCTATTCTAAATAGACCCCAAGGGCTTATTTATAGGCCTTTAAACTGTTTGTATGGTGGGAGAAGCAATTCCTTTAAAGTAGCGTATTTGTTTGGTTGCAAAATTTTGACATTTTTTTCTTTCTATTTTTTACTGCATTTGATTTAGAAAAGTTATGTTTTTGAGAAATCAGAATAGAAAGTATGTTTGAGAGGCAGCTTATAATTTTTTTTTTTGCGCACAAATATGAAAAATGAGCTGACCCCATCGAAGATTAAGTTGGGCCTGAAATGAAATTTTTTACAATATGGTGAAACTCATAGTGTTGGTGAAATGATTTGTTTATATTTGTTATTGGTTTTTCTTTATTTTTGTTGCCGGCTGAAAGATTCACGGTGATAGAGTTAGTGAATTTTTCGTCTTAGCAACAAAAAAAAAAAAAAAATCACATCAAATTTTTATCCCACTATGTGGGGTTGGCTACATAAATTTTTTTCTTCATTGTGTCATGTTAAAAGTGAAAGTCTCATTTAAATATAATAAATGTCATTTCTAATATTTTCTAAGTCTTAAGTTTATATCTACCTTTCTTAATATAAGTCAAATATAATATGTATACTTTCCTAACTTGGTCATTGGAAAGTCGTCGTTTTATGTGATAAAACCATCTAAGGCAACACTCTCTAATCTTTTCCCTTTCACGTATATGTTTATTTCGTATCATGTCTCTAAGAGGAAGTCATTCATCCACCTGATCGTCGTCATCTTTGTAACACAACTTAATATTATAGTTCTCTCTTACTGGCCAAGATTTTGCACTATAAAGTATTGCAGGTTTAATCACTATCTTATAGAATTTCTCTTTAAATTTGAGGGGGACTTTTCTTTCACACATCAAACACGATGGAGTCATCTATTTCAACCATTCAACTTGAATTATATTAACAATATCCTCGTCTATTTCACTTCCAATTTGAGTTTTTCGTTTTAGCGATGCACGAAAATTTAACACGCAAGTTGATAAGATGATAAGGGAATATCATAATTTTTTATGTGAAAAACCATGGAAAACTTGGAGTGGGAAAAGTCACAAGGCCTTACCTAGGTGAAAAAATTTCACTATATCTGAGTAATTACAAAGATAGACCTATTCCTTAACTTGAAAATAATAAAATTACAATTAATTGGAGAATTGGTCGAACATTGTAAGATATAGTGAAAATTTTCTATTTGAGTGCAGCGTTCGCGAGAAGAATCAGTAAAGTTCAATGATGGTAATCAGGTGGTCGAACGAAGTTTTGATGGTGGCTAATCAAGTCTGTAAAATGTTTTAAGAACTTAGCAATTTTATTTATGATCTATTTGGAACAATTTTTAGACCACTTGGTTGCTTTTTCGATAATAATCATTATTTTATTTGGGTATTATTTTATTGCAGCTTTCTTACTATTTCTTAGAAAAATTTGTAGTGAAATTTATTTTTTACAATTATAGTAGTAAAGTTATTTTCGTTATAATAACTTCACAATCAACCTTATAAGATATTGTAGCCGTTCCAAATAGATATTAAGATTTTGTTTGGAACAATTTTTTTACTGATTTTTAAAGCAGTTTTTTAATATAAAAATTTATTGAACTATAATTTTTTTATTAGAAAACTACTTTAAAAAATAGTAAGAAAGTTATCCCAAATAAAGCCTAAATTATTTAAAATCCACTTCTAACTAATTAATGCTTCTAACTAATTAATGATTAATCTGGTCTCCCATGGAACTTAGCTGATCAAAATTAGGTAAAGGGCCAGATATAAATGTGACAATGGAGAACTTTTAAATAAATGCTTTTTAATATATTTTAAAATATAAATATACCATATAATATATCAATTTTGTATTGAAAAAATGCTTTATATTCAATGGTGATAAAAACCAAGAGCTAATCTTGGTTATAAAAATTAATGATGTATTTAGTGATTTAATTAATTATTGAATTATAAATTTATTTTAAACTTTTTTTAAAATAAATTTACAATTTTATAGAAAATAATTCCAGTGATAGATAAAATGAGTTAAGATTTTTTGGAGCATGTGTGATAAAATTCAAATATATGCGTGAAAATTAAAAGTAAGTTTTGCCAAAAAATTTAGCTAATTGAAATTAAATTTTCATGTGACACAAAAATCTAACATGGAGGATATGTCAAATCTCAAGTGATCATTTAGACCTATAGCGTAGAGGCAACCCATACTATAACACTCAATCTTAAAACTCGTAGGATACACTAGAATCAAGCACAACATCATGAATATGCATGGAAGCTATTCGTTGACAATTTTGACGAAGGAGACATTAACAATTTGAAGTTTCTACTTCGTATATGATTGAGGAAGAAGAATTTTACGTAGCTCATCTTGGTTTATTGGTTGGGGGCATGGGCTATTAACCAGGAGATTTTGGGTTCGAAGCTTGCATATGTGAGTTTATCTTAATGACTCAAGTATCTTAAAAAAGGAAGATGAGTATCGATAAAGAACTATGATCTTCAATGCGGTAGAAAAATCAATTAATGATATAGGATGATGCCTTCACTAGGAAGAGATGGAAGGTTTATATGCAAGAGGACATAAAAGGTGGGATTGACTTTACAAAAGAGCTTGAAGAAAATTTGAATCATTCATATAAAGCAACTATATATATTTCATAACTATTCAAAGGTGAAAACCATAATGATGTTCACACTATAGATTTCATTCTCTAATGTTAGGTTGATTCTCCATTTAACCATTAGTTTTATCCATTTTCACACTCATTGAATTAAAAATAGCATGTGATTCATTTTGATTTAGTGAAAAATTAGCTTAGTTTTGTTATTTATAGAATCAACGAAAGAATGTGAAAGCATTAGATTGGAGTATCAAGTTGTTATTGAAGATCTCTATACATAACAACTTGATATTATGAGGATCTTTTTAAAACAATTTTTTAATAAAAAATTATAGTTAAAAAAAAATTTGTACTGAAAAGCTGTTTTAGAAAGCATGAAAACAACTGTCACAAAAAGCCTAAGCTACTTTGAGTTGAGCTACATGTGTCTAATCCAATTAACTTAATGCACAATACTTGCAATTATCATATTAGTTAGTGGTAAATATAGTATTTGCATACAAAGATATTATTACGTGCGGACGTCGAATGCATCCAGAGGCCAATCAAGAGCTGTCATGTCATTCAATATACTATGCATTGAGTGACGTCGTAGCTCTTGACCGACGTCTGGACGCATTCAACATCTGCACATAATAATTTTTCCTGGATAGAAGAGGAAGAATAATTATAAAGTGCATAGAGAACTTTGATGAGTTGAACTTCACTTGATCCTCTTCTTCTTCTCCACATTTTGTAGAATCCACGAAAGAATGTGAAAGCATAAAATTTGATTCCTTTTTAATCAGTTTCCTCTTCTTCTTCCCCACATTTTGGCGGTTCGAGGAAATGAAGCCAAATAGCCAATGGCGAGAGCTCGCAATAAAGAAGTTTTACGATAAAATAATTAACTTTGAAACAGTCATTTTCTTCAAACTTATTTCTTAATTCGATCGATAAAAAACTCTCCTTTTTCCATAGCGACTGCGTCCGTTCCATCTTAGGTTTTCTATTTCTCCTTCTCCTTCTCCTTCTCTCAGGTCAAACAGTGGCGTTCCTCTGCAAGTCTTTGCAAGCTTATACCATTCTCTCTAACCAGTCTATATCGCTTCCAGCAATCTTTCTGGGGTAGCCATTTTCGTTTAGATCCAAGCACCGCCTTGGAGATCTCCGTGGGGTTTGTTTTTATATCATCTCTTCTAACCTTTTAATGGGATTCTGGTCGTTTGAGGGACGATGAAGAGGTCGAAGAGCGTGGAAACTCTCGTCGGGAGGAGATGGAGGTTATCTCACATCCTCTTCGCCGTGGCTGCGCTTTATCTTCTAATAATCGCCTTCAAATTTCGCCACATTTTGGAGATCGTCGGCTTGATGAGCGACGACCGGAGTTTCGCCGGCATCGACCGTACAGCTGCTGGGGATGACGTGGCGGACGTAAGCCGGTCATTTTTCGGCTCCGCCTACTCAGATTCACTGCATCGCCACCTCGATGGTGGAGACCCACCGCCGAAGCCCGGCAGCGACCCGGTCGTCCTTCCCACGCTCGGCAAGCCTTTGTATTCTTTCGACCACTACGGCAGGATCACCAGCGCCATAATGCAGAGGCAGCAGCATTGGGGTGGCAACCTCACTGAGCTGGAAAGGATGGCACATGAAGCTTGGGCTTTGGGGATGAAGTCTTGGAAGGAAGTGGAAGATTTTGAGGACAAAGGGGAGTTGAACCAAACGACATTAATTGAAAGGAAGCTGGAGTCCTGCCCCATTTCGGTCTCCATGGGTAAGGATGAAACGGGCTCCGGAGAGAGCTTGATGTTTCTGCCATGTGGACTTGAGGTGGGTTCCTCGATCACTGTGATTGGTACTCCTCACCATGCTCATCAGGAATTTGTGCCTCAGCTGGCAAAGCTGAGGCAGGGGGAAGGGATAGTCATGGTGTCCCAGTTTATAGTTGAGCTGCAAGGACTTAAGGCAGTTGATGGTGAGGAACCGCCAAAGATCCTGCATTTCAATCCAAGGGTGAAGGGTGATTGGAGCCATAGACCTGTCATCGAGCACAATACATGTTACAGAATGCAGTGGGGGAAAGCTATGCGGTGTGATGGGATTGCTTCTAAGGAAGATGATGATACAGGTATTTTAGTGATCCCACAGTTCTAAATTTCACATTATGAAGTGGTTCTCAGAATTACTGAGTTTTCTGTCAAAAACTGACTGTTAGCTCTGTTGCTTCCATGGAGAGTGATATGTTGGATTAGCCATGAGCTTGCATTTTGCGTGTCAAGTAAAAGTTAAGCTTTTCAAGGGCCACTAGTTGAATTTACTTTTATGAACGAGTGGAAGTAAGGTTTAGGGTAGGGAGTGGGTGTGAAAGTCAATATTGGGATTATGGGTGGTGGCTGGCGGAGCCTTGCCTGACTGAAGTAAGGCACTGAAAGTAAATATCTATATCAAATATAAATCAAATTTAGTTGTAAGGAATAATTTTAAAGAGGTTACAAAATAATCATCACATGAAATTTATGTTTTAAAAAAATGATTTATAGTTTAGGTTTCATTGCATTACAAAGTTGAAAATCATGAAAAGTAGTTTATCTTAAGTACATACCGTTAAATAACCTCAAGTTTGTAGTATGTGTTTTCTAGAGATTACCAAATCTTTACCATTATCCATTTCATCTTTATCATCTTCATACATTTTCTCTTTTCTATCACTGAATTTATAGCCCTGTATTTATTTTGTTTTTCTCATTAGTTAAGAACTTGTACATTCATTTTATTTAACTCATTTCGAAGGGCATAGCCTTATTTCTCCAACTCATGATGCATTGCACTTTTCACTTCAGCCAATTTTATGATCATGAAAAAGTTGCATGCATTTATCATTGTAAGAGTTAGCATCTTTCAATTCAAGGAAAAGCACTTGCCTCTGACTTTTTCAGTTCAAGGAAAGATGCTCACCTTGGAACGCATTATTTTCTGCTCATCCTTGGCAATTTTTCTGCAATCATTCCCCATATATTTTTGACTCATAGTGAATATGCTCTATAGTTAGATTCATGTCATCGAAATCATCATTTAAGTATAAAATCTGTAAAAACCTTTTTTTTCTGATGGCTATGTTATGGGATGTGAGTCTAATGTTTTATATGTGGATTTTGAGAATGATAGTATCCTCCAACAAGTGCGTGGAAGGTGCTCGTAGTAAGGCTTACTAAGTGTATGCATATATAAAACTTCAATTGAAGGAGGATATCTTTAGAGCATGCTTGTATCACGTGATCCCTTTATCTCTAGGAAATTTCATAAGCTTGGATTATATGGTCTTACCTTGGGATACATGTACACATATATGTGAACGTTTTTTTTGTGTGCTTTGTAAGCCATAGTTGAATCAACACGCATATACTAGTGCTTTGACTTTATTACTATCAGATCAACTTGTTTTATGTCTTGTTATTATGGAAATTTCTTATATTACTTATGGAGTTCGAAAAACTTATTATGCATAATGCGATTGAGTTATAGATATGTTGACAAGTCCATCTTTTATGCAAACAAACAAAATTCTTTCTTCTATTTTTTTTGGAACTTTTCTCACTGGTTTGGTGAGAAAAGAATGCAGTTTTTTTTAGAAGATATTGTCACTTTTTTTTACGATAATCCCTATAGCATTTGGGTGGATCTTTCATAGTTTCTTTGTGAAAATTGTTACAGCTTTTATGGGACTTTTCTCACTAGTTTTATGAAAGAAAAGTACAGATTTTTGAGAGTTTTATCGCTGTTTTACATAAAAATTCCTATGGCATTTGGGTGGATTATTCCTTGCTTCTTTATGAAAATTGCTACAGTTTTTGTGAATCTTTTCTCATTGTTTTAGTAAGAAACAAGTGCAGATTTTTGTGGCTTTTGGCTTCCAAATTGTGTTGGGAGTGAGGTATGTGTAGATTTTTACTATTTCGAGGTCCCAAACTATTTTGGTAGCATGACACATGCAGATTTTCACTGTTTTTAGCCTCCGAATTGATTTGGGAGCGAGATACATGCAGATTTTTTCACTGTTTTTAGCTTCTGGTGTGTTTTGGGAGCGAGATACATGCAGTTTTTCACTTCCAAATTATTTTGGGAGCGAGATACATGCAGTTTTTCACTTCCAGATTGTTTTGGGAGTGAGATACATGCAGTTTATTCACTTTTTTTAGCTTCCGGATTGTTTTAGGAATAAATTGTGTGTAAGCTTCTCATTGCTTTGTGCTCTAAATTATTTTAAAGTGAAATTTTGGCTTGTTTATATTATAAAGATTTGTTTTGGCATGAAAACGAATTATGAATTTGAATTAGAGAATTACTTGGAAGGGTTGGTGGCATGTAGCATGAAAATATAAATTTGTTGGAACAAAATACATTTCTATTGTAAATCAAGTGATAAATAAAATGTTTATATCCATGATTAGTGAGTGTTTATATATCCCACACATGCTTAGAATGAAATTGTCAAATGCTTTGTGAACTCAATATCTTATTACCTATGATTTTGGAATATTATTCTTACGGTTGGAGAAAATAAGTTGACTCTAAATCTCTTTTTGTTATAAGTTTTGGTTCCAACATTAAGTATATATATGTTACCTCATAGAGAAGTTTTATAGTTTGTGGTATATTAAAAAGTTTTATGATTTTGTTTTATTTCGAGGAGATTTGTGATTGGCTTCGTGATTGAAAAATTTTTAAATAGCTTTATGCTACGATTTTATAAACGATATTCAAAATAAAGGGTGTTGCAAATTTGTTTTGCATTTGGCTTCATATTAAAAGGCTTTGCTAATTATTTTGTATCAAGAAGGTTTCTAAAGAGTTTTGTGAATTGTCTTATATTGAGCTTTTTGTTATTTTGTTTTGTGAATGTTTCTTGATAGAAGGCTTTGTAATGCCTAGTCATCGAGAAAATTTTCACAAATTACCCCACACCAAATTAAAAGAGGCACTTGATTATTGATTTGTGTGTAAAATGAGATTTTCTTGGTAGATGATTTATATGGGGTTATATGTGGTACTTAGTTTAGAAGTTCTTACAAGTCACTTTGGAATCTATAACTAGATTTGTGTAGTAGGGCCTCTTAGTGTCTTTTGGAGAATGATTGGGTTTTCCCATTTGAGTTAGATTCTCTTAGTGTTTCTTTCTAATTTTGGGGATTTGAAACATTAGGGAGCTTTATATTGAAAGGTCTTTAGTATCTTTTTGGAGTGAGATAGTCCTTGCTCATTTGGATTTTCTTCCTTTAGTGTTAGCTTCTAAAGATAAAAAATATGAAATATTGGATAGATATAAAATAAAAGAGAGTCTTATTTTAAATTTAGTGTTAGGATTTGTTTCCCTTAGTTGTTTTGAGATTGGTTTAGAGTGTAGTGTAGGTTGATGTTTCAAATATATAAAGTGCCTTATTTGAATTTCGGGGACAGCAAAGGGCATTGTAAATGTTGCTTTAGGGTACACTTGACTTCAAAGAAGTGTGCCCAATAACAACAATGACTACATCCCTTTTGTATTCGATTTTCGTTCTTTTTTTCTTTTTCACTGCATTTAGTTGTCTTTCACTTCGCCTTTAGTTTGTTTCATGTCGTTTCTTTTATACTGTGATGTTGGATACTTGCAAAATGAGGAGAAATCAAAACACAAGTAGCTCAACAAGTAACAAAAAGGTACGTTCTATGTTTTATTGCATTTTTATTTCTTTATGTTATTATTTGCTTATAGAATTGCTCTAATAGACCTCTCTTTTGTGACTTGCGAGGTGAACTTTGAAAAGCAATAGATAAGGAGCGTTGGAACACTTGGAGAGGGAGCTAGGATAATCGGATCCGAGCATCAGTTACCTCTATTCATTCCGGTATGGGCGCTATGGGTTGACCCCCTGGGTCACAGCCTCCGGTGCTGTAAGCTTTCTTAAAAACTTAGAAAACTTTTAAGGGCCTAGATGTTTGCACACCTCCCACCCTTAGGACATTGTAGAAACTTCTTTTATAATTAGGATTGTTCTTACTTTATTAGATCCCTAAAACTTTTTGACATACCCATAGAAGTCTTAAGGGTTAGAAAACAACACTGCTTTTAGTCCTACAACACTAGTGACATTTAAGGATAAAAATTAAGGACCGAGTCTTAGAAAATATAGACTTATGATGCATGCTCCCTATAAGATAGAGACATTAAAACGAAAACTTAGTGACACGTTTTCCTAGATTTTGGTTTTCTTTAATTTATTAATAATCAACCAACAAATTTTTAATCTAATTCTTAAAATACATTAAAACACTTAATTCTTAATTAAATTGTAATTAATATTGCATAATCATTAAAATATAAATCTAAATCATAAACCTAAATCAAATCTAACTAATCTAATAATTAATTCATAACCAATTTAAGATTTAAAAGATGTAAATTTAATTAGGGGATTAAATTATAAGCTAAAATTCATTAGGATTAAAATACTTCTAAATGCTAAACCTTAGAATAATCTTTAAAATCAATCAACGAATCTTCTTTTAATAAAATACTTTGTTAGGTTATTTTAATTGGTTATAAATTAGAAAAAAAAGATATATTATATGTTTTATTAAAAAGAGATTCGTTGATTGATTTTAATGATTATTCTAAGGTTTGGTATTTAGAAGTATTTTAATCTTAATGAATTTTAGCTTATAATTTAATCCCCTAATTAAATCTACATCTTTTAAATCTTAGATTGGTTAGGAATTAATTATTAGATTAGTTAGATTTGATTTAGGTTTATGATTTAGATTTATATTTTAATGATTATGCAATATTAATTACAATTTAATTAAGAATTAAGTGTTTTAATGTATTTTAAGAATTAGATTAAAAATTTGTTGGTTGATTATTAATAAATTAAAGAAAACCAAAATCTAGGAAAACGTGTCACTAAGTTTTCGTTTTAATGTCTCTATCTTATAGGGAGCATGCATCATAAGTCTATATTTTCTAAGACTCGGTCCTTAATTTTTATCCTTAAATGTCACTAGTGTTGTAGGACTAAAAGCAGTGTTGTTTTCTAACCCTTAAGACTTCTATGCGTATGTTAAAAGATTTTAGAGTTCTAATAAAATAAGAAC